ATTGTCTGTTTCTCCCGGTTTGTTTGCAATATACAAGCGATGTGCTCTTGTTTTTCAGTTTACGTCCCATTTTTGCGCGTTTTTCCGGCAGGATGAGATTCGCTGTTGCGCATTTCGACGAGGGAGGGACAAGCATCAGCTCCAGCCCTTGGTTAGCTGGAGGAATGCTCCACTGTTGAACTTCTAAACTGCTGCTGGGAACTGCGGCTGCTCCGCTCTGGAGGATTGCTTGAGGACTGCCCGTGGTCGCCCGGAAACGTTATGTCTGTCAGCAAGCTGGCATAGCAATCAGAAGCTTCTGTGAAAGACAACTGGTGCTGCTCCAGAATCATCATCCTTGGGAAAGCAGGTATTATCCATATGGTTTCGTAATATTCGGCTCGTACTTCATGTACAACTCTGCTAAAATTTACAGCGATGGTTTCCTTGCCACGATTATTGGCAATTCCATAAGATGAACATGGCGAAGACAAATCCATGCTATCTGTTTCATTTCTCTGAGCACTTTCACGGACAAACATCCGTAAACGACGTTTTGGAATCGCGACGTAATAAAAAGGCAGCAGTCTCTTTTAAGGGGGGTGCTGATACTATTTGCCCGGGATTTGCCGTTTTATTCTTTATTTCAAACACTTTTAACAAGTGCATCCATTAATCATTGACGACTGCATTTGTTGCTATCAGACGCAGGCCATCCATTGCGGGGACAAAGGGCGAGTGCCTAAAACGACCCGGATTAATCAATTAATGAGTGAGTGCATCGGAAAGCAGCCGCCCTTTAGAAAATGATCTATCGAAACAATATCTTATTCCCGTATAGACAGCTGGCTGGCAGCTACTATGTTCCAGTCTTTCTAATAATGGCTGATAAGCTCGTTATCATCGTCCTGACAAAGTAACAGACAACACTGCATGTCATTCTCATAAAATACAAACGTTTCGCTGGATTACCCTCATAAATAGCATCGTCAATAGTTTGTTGTTGTTAACGTGACCGCAGGCAAACATTACTCAAGTCGGCTTTCATGCAAGTACTCCATGGAAAAGATCTCACGTAAAGTTTTGCCATACAAACACTCCAAGAGAATACATGTGTAGTGCATTTCTGAACTTCTATTCGACATGGTTGCTCTCATCGGCTCTACCTCGGTAAACGACTCAACATAAAATCCGCCTACATGAATTATCGTCCATACTCAAGCCATGGGGCGGTGATCTGAGGCACTGAATATCGCCATTTTCAGGGGCCATCTTGCGCAACACATCGCGCTACGGTGTCTCCCGCAACAAAACGGAATAGGTACCAGAAAAATGGCTTTGGCGGGAGAGACTGCGGAAACATCGCGCTGACAACGGCAGCAACGGCAACGCGTGACATCTCGTGAATGGTTTAGTGATAATCGCACCAGGCATGATGACAGAGAAGTGTACGTTTTGTGCAATGGTGCTGTCGCCGAGGCAATTTCGGTCAAATACATGGTGAATAAACTTTGACCTGACTTATCATCAATGACATGAAACAGTATGCCTGGAATTACGGCGGTCCATCAACCAGGTGGAATTTGAAAGGGCATACGGTGGAGCCCAACTGGGGTCCATCTGGGGCGGTTAAAAAGGTCCCATCTGGGCTAAGTATATGGGTCCCATCTGAGCTGGTTTCATGGGGCCCAGCAAGACATACCCATGTGGGCCCACAGCTGAACATGCCCACGCGGGTCCCAACTGGGTAGTCCAGGTGGACCCCATGTGGATCACAGTTAGTCCACACGTAGGCCCCGGGTGGGCTGCCCATGTGGGACCCAGTTGGTTGCTCATGACATGCCTACGTGAGACCGAAGTGGGCAGCCCTGATAGGCCTCATAACGCTTCCCACCCAGGACCCACATGGGTCCCAGTTAGACATGATTGCTGGATTAGCGGCCCCGGCATTTGAAAAGCTCTAACTTTTCTGACGCAGCGTACCGGTGCAAGATTTTGTGCTATTCGTAATCAGGAGGTCAATTTCTATCAGCATATACGGAGTTTCGAACCAATTGAAGGTGTCCGCATTTTTATTGTGGTTTTTCATATTGATATATCTGCGGTAATAGGGCGAACCGGTCCAATATTTTGTCCTCATTGTGCTAAGGAGATTAAACGGCATCTGTATAGAAGGTTTCAGGCCAATTTGAGGAGTCCACTGGATTCCGAATATGGACTGCAATCTGAATGTGAATGTGGTGCCAAATTGAAAGAACGTCGCGGCTAGTGAGGCTTTCAGTGAAAGGTTCGCGCATCCCTGAGGTCACGTGCGGTCTCGAGAATGCGCTGATATAGAGATCATCAGCTTCGAGACATTTGCTTGAATCGTAAGCAATTAGCGACCAGATGGCATGTCAACATAGCGAGGTAAGTGGGCGGGTAACGTCCGTCCAACGAAATTTATGCATGCGCAGCTCTACGGTTTATATTTGGGCTATCCTGGCTCATGGAACAGTGGCTCTCAAACTGCTTTGTGCGCACGCAGTGCCGCCATCTGTGCCGCGAGCGATATTAACAAGATTGAAATGCACATATCTCATCGATATTTCATCTGGAGTCAACCCATTACACTAACAAAGCATTAAGACAAAGCCGATTCATAAACATAATCGCGGTCTATTGGCACGCAAAGAATAACGCGGGGCGTGACGATAGTGGTATTTTACTTCGAGAATAGGTCAACTGCCAACTAGAGAGCTTCTCAGACTGCATCTTTGGAATCCGATCCATAGCCATCCGAACACTTTTCAACCCAGTCCAGACGCTAATCGGCGTCTTTCACAGATCTTAATCAGCCAGGGCAAAAATATTTCCTAGTTTTTTACGTGCCAAGGCCCGTCTACCAACACCACACTATGGAAGACGTTCTGTGCTCTGCTTGGAATCGAACCCGGGACTTCCCCGCATACCCCCAAGCACAGGGGGTATGTTGTTGCCAACTTGTGTTGCAACTACTGTTGCCAACTTGTGCTGATGACAATGTGTTGAAACCGCAGGCTTCTAAGCGGTAGAACAAAGGATGTATAACGTATGGTTTCAGCCTGCTGTCTGCTATGATGACCTTATACAGACCTTGGCATACAAATGACGGAACGCGCTAGTTCGAAACGCCCTGCGCTTAATGGACTTGACATTATCTCACTATCCCGTTCACAGCCCATCTTGCAGTCGTGCCAATAGAATGGGTTTACCATTGATTTATCTGTACAGCAGTCTCAAGTTCTTGGTTTAGTCCACCGGCCAGCTGAGGGCCGCCCCGACCACTGGGCGCCACAGAAACCGAGGCCTTCAAGTTAACACGCCCGAAGGCTGAGGGTTATACCCTGCCGGCTGGGTACCAAGCCCTGACCGCGGCTGTCGACGCGCCCTTAATCCCCAACAACGGGTATTAAGCCCACCGTCACGGACATCGGCAAAGCAGCGGGACGGCCAGGTAGGGTCTTCCTATCACAGTTAGCCACCCTCCTTTCCCGGGTGCAGCGTCTGTCGTGTCGGCGGCGCACCTCTTGCGGCATGACCCGCCGACGCGCTGGGCATGTTCTTCCCACGCTCTGTCTACCACCTTCTACCTACCCGGGATGGCATTGTTTCATGGAAATACCCGGGATGGCATTGTTTCATGGAACTACCCGGGATGGCATTGTTTCATGGAACTACCGGGATGGCATTGTTTCATGGAACTACCCGGGATGGCATTGTTTCATGCAACTACCCGGGATGGCATTCGCTGAATTGCCGGTCTCGATCTGACAAACTGAATGATAGCGAAGGCCCGGCGCCAGGTCACCCTCGAAAGCCGCGACGTCGCACTGGCCAGCGGGGCGCACGGCCCGGCCAGACCACGGCCACACGGGTCTAATGTCCACGGTCGCAGAACGTCCCACATGCCACACACGAACATGCCTGCAAACAAACGCCCTCGGCCCGATGGCGCGTGACCGTCGCCAGCGTCCTCACAT